GCGGAAATTATACGGCTTGTAGTTTGGGAATCCATAATGCAAATGTAAAGGAAGGCCGTGTTCAACATTAGTTGGGAATTATAAAAGTTTTACAAAATCTGATTATACCCTCCCTTCGAGTGTCAAATTAAAAGAAGACGTAATCTATATATATAAAAATGAAAGGGTTTTTTTTCTGTGTTATATCTAATCTCCGAAAGTACTGCACCGATTAAAATGAAATTTGGACACAACCCGACCAGCGCATAGGGCCGGGTTTTTGTCTGTTCAATTTTGTAATTATGCCGATGGTACGCCTGTGATGGGTAAAAAACCGGATTTTTTTCCGGCATAACAACGCCACCTGCTGCGGCCACTTGACCTACATCCGGTCGGACACACAGTGCACCCAGACTGTGGCCACTTGACCGACATTCGTTCAAACGCACATGCTCAGCCCGACAGCCGCGCTCACCCCACCACCCACCCTGCAGGCACTTGAGCAGGCCCTCCACCCTTTCTGGGCCTCCAGAGCAAACCACCCCTGGGGCAAAAAAACAGGCAACACTTGGACGCCACTTAAAATTGTCCCACAGCCCACGTAATAGGGCCGTCACCGCTGCCTCGGGGATTCTCGGGGGTGAGGACCGGATGCAATTAACACCAGACACCACCTCCCGCACAACCCACATAATGGGGCTGTCGCCCAATGTCAGCTCAGTATTGTACAGTTCGGCTTGCGGAAGCCCGGTTGCGGTCGCGGCGACCGCGTTCTGCCGCTTCCGGCCTGCTTCGTTCACAAAAGGATGAACACAGTCAGCTGGGAGTGGCCGAATGGCGCCAGCGAGGAATAGCGGACCAGCGTCCAACACGTCTCTGTGCCCACAATTCACGCTGCGCTCTGGAGAACACATTCATTTGCGTGATGCCGTTGTAAACGACGGTACGGCAAAACCCGTTGGAAGACTAAAGATTTTGCCATCCAACATATACCGGCAGTCGGAGACCGATTTCAACGCGGTATCCATTTACTTTTCGGGATGATACCGGTGGATATCACTCCAACGTTTAGATGATAAATCCAGTCAGTGACGAGGTAACACACATGAAATGCAGCGCAATGAACCACTACTCCTACCGACTTATTATACGACAGAATGTAAGTAATCCCCTTTTGAAATGCTGTCAATTGCTTCATCACTGCATTGTGGATATGTATGCAAAAATCGAAACTGAACGCCTGCTTTTCAATCGCTTAAACCAGACCAAGCTGCGCTCTGAAGGAAACATTCCTTTGCATGATGCAGTTGTAAACGACGGTAATACAACTAACGTTGTAGGGCTACTGATTTTGTCCTCCACATACACAGACAGTCCACGCCATATGCTCGAGTACGCTCGAGGTGCAACTGCCTATGTTTGTCAGTACGGACGTCCAGACCTACTCATTACATTCATATGCAATCCAGCTTGGCGGATGTTTATCAAGTCTTACTTCCTGGGCTATCGCCGGTGAATAGGTATAACATCACAGCACGTGTTTTTAAGAAGAAACTGAAATCGCTGATGAACTTCATGGTGAAACACGAGGTGTTTGGGTCTGTGAGCTGTTGGATGTATTATGGGGAATGGCAAAATATGGGCACTGCCCCACGCACATGCCTGGATCTGGCTCTACAACAAGATCACTTCCAACGAAATCGCCGATGAAATATGCGCTTAATTATCTGCCGCCGACGTCGACAATGATTTGCACGCAGTCGCGGCGATGAAAACGATCAGGGAAAGACGTCGGCGAATTGACAACCGCAAGAATGCGAATCGGTGACGTACAAGTCGGTAACCGCTGGGTTGTTTCGTATTCGCTTTTGCTTTTAAAAGCAAACGAAGTTCACATAAACGTGGAAAACCGCAATTCCGGGAAATGAATTAGGTACATCATTTGTAAGTACGTGAATAAAGGCAGCGACATGGCCGTTTTCGGTCTACAACACTAAAGGAGGGGGAGGGATGTGGACATACAACTCGTTAGAGAATGAGCAATGCCTTTACTTTACAGCTGCAAATGTGCTATAGGCTGCCTTAGATCTACCGACAACAACATTAAGTGCGTTTTTCACGTTAAGCCAAAATGACGCGTTTGCAAAAACACTGCTGCATTCGGAGACGCATTGCTACTGTTTGCAAGAGACTCGGGCAAACACTGCCCGTAGTTCCTCGATCGACACCAACCGACGAAATAAATGCCTGCATGAAATACTACGCTGTATCGCCACCTCCAGACGTTAAAATTAACTACGGATATGTGTGTCCAGCTGCAAAACGACTGAACAGCTGAGATATTCTCACACGAATTGCCGGCAATTGGGAACGGATCGGTGCCGGTTGATACGACATCAGGACGCATTTCACTACCTCCTACCTTCGGAAATTTAGTGTCGTCAGAAAAAGACTTGGTTGAAAAGGGTTTTTCCAATATTCAAACCAATTATACGAATCACGATTGCCTGAGCGAACGAGCTATTCTTGCGGCCAAGAACCAAGAAGTCTGCCTACTTAACCATACTTTTCAGTCTAAGGTACAAAGCGGGGCAGTTCCCATGCAAGTCCGTCGACACTGTTGTAGAACCAGGCGAGGTAGTTAATTGTCACACAGAAATTTTGAATTCGCTTAATCTGCCAGGGACGATGGCGCGGTTACTGTGATTGAAAATCGGTGTGCCGGTTATAATGCCGCGAGAAATCAACCAGCCGAAGCTTGCCAACGGCACGTGGCTTGCAGTAAACCCGTTAGTGAACAACGTACGGGGTCCGATATCTCGACAGGACCTTTTACCGGAGAGCATATACTTATTCCTCGCATTCCACTGATTCCAACTGACATACCATTTCCATTGAGAATACCGCATTTTCCCATTCGACTGGCGTTTGCATTCACGATCAGCAAAGCTCAGGGCCAGTCTTTAGAATTGTGCGGCTTTGGATCTACAAAACGGACTGCTTCTCACGTAACAAATTATACGTTGCGTGTTCCCGAGTCGGCAAACTAGACAATATTTGTGTCTGCGCAGACAACGCAACGACAACAATATCTTATATCCACAACCATTATGCACTTAAGCATATAACAAACGTGTCCCCTTTTTTCTTTCTATTACATTTCATCAGACTGAGCCACAGCAACGCGTGGCCGATGGTACGCCTGTGATGGGTAAAAAACTGGATATTTTCCGGCATAACAACGCCACCAGCTGCGGCCACTTGACCTACATCCGCTTGTGTCCACACGTCTACCCGCCGAGCCACTTGACCGACATTCGCCCAAACGCACGTGCTCCACCCGACGGCCGTCCCCACCCCACCACTCACCTCGCAGGCACTTGAGCAGGCCCTCCACCCTCTCTGGGCCGCTGCAATATGGGCCGCCGCGCAAACCACCCCTGGGGTAAAAAAACACGCGACACTTGGACGCCACTTAAAATTGTCCCACAGCCCACATAATAGGGCCGTCACCGCTTACTCTGGGAATCTTGAGGGTGAGGACTGGACGCAATTAACACCAGCCCCACCACCCCGCGCAACCCATATAATAGGGCTGTCGCCCAATGTCAGTTCAGTGTAGTGCAGCTCGGCTTGCGGAAGCCGGGTTGCGGTCACGGCTACCGCGTTCTGCAGCTTCGGGCCTGTTTAGTTCAGCAACAGAATGAACAATACCGATTTCAACACAGTATCCATTTCCTTTTCGGGATGGTGCCGTTGGATATCACTTCAACGTTAAGATCATAAATTCGGTCAGTGACGAGGAAATGCACGCGAAATTTAGTGGAATGAATTACTACTCCTTCCGACTTATGCTTCGACAGAATGTAAGTAAACCCCTTTTGAACTGCCGTCAGTTGCTTCATAACTGCATTGTGAATACGCATGCGAAATCGAAACAGGACGCCCGCTTTTCATTCATTTGCATCCGACCAAACTGCGCTCTGAAGAATATATTCCTCTGCATGATGCAGTTGTAAACGACGGTAATACACCTTCCGTTGTAAGACTACTGATTTTTGTCCTCCACATACACAGACAGTTCACCCCCCCTCTCCCGGCATGATAGACGGAAGTCCCTTATACCGAAAATGATCAGCGGAAGACATTGGCAAATTGGCAACCGTACGAATGCGAATCGGTGACATAGAAGTCGGTAACCGCTGGGTTGTTTCGCATTCGCCTTTGCTTTTAAAAGCAAACGCAGTTCACATTAACGTGGGACACTGCAATTTTGGGAAATGAATTAGGTACATTTGTAAGTACGTGAATAAAGGCAGGGACATGGCCGTTTTCGGCCTGCAACACGAAAGGAGATAAAGGGATGCGGACATACAACACAATGAAATCGCACAGTATTGGGCTGGAAGATGCGTCAACGGCAAGAAATCCATGTGGCGAATTCTTTCATTCCCCATCCACGAGCGAAGTCCAGGTGTTGTTCGCTTGCAGTACAGTTAGAGAATGGGCAATGCGTTTACTTCACCGATGCAAAAACGCGCAACAGGTTGCCTTAGGTCCACTGGCAACAATATCAACTGCGTTCTCCACGCTAAGCCAAAGTGACGCGTTTGCGAAACCACTGCCGCATTCGGAAGTGCTTACGCATTACACAGGGAACGTGCGTAGAAAATCATCCGAACAGCGCAAACGAGGAGAGCGAGTGGACGGACACCCCGGCATACTCAAAGGAACTGCGATTGGCAGACTGCATACCGTGCATCCCAACCTTACTTCGCATGGTGTTGGTGAATGTGCCCGGTCCAACGTCTTTCCAGCAATTGAAATCTGCCAACGCATGCCACTTTCAGCAGTGTTTGTCAGGCTTTTCAGTTACTGTATAAAGATCAACAGCGGGACGTATGTTTTAATGACGCCTGCAACACGTCCCATCCACATTAAATTCATGCATTGTTTGCAGTCATATTGACCGCATTCTCTCCTCATCTCCAACGGATTTACTGGAGAAATAGAATTTGCAGATGGCTGAAGATACCTTCCGCCAACTATGCAAGGAAAATTCAAATGTGGCCTGCACAGCAGGAATCTACAGCAAGGCGTTAATATTGATTGAGGATATGTACGCCGAAATCGCGAACAAAGTTCTTAATCAACTGGGAATGTCGCCGCAAAAATAAAACACGGTTCAACTTCTGCCATGCTTGCAATCAAACATTCACAAGGTAAACCTGGAGCAGAATGGCATTTACGATCAAATACTGCGGAATGTTAGTAACGAGGTTGGAGGAATCTTCTTCCTAAATGCGCCAGGAGGGACTGGCAAAACGTTCCTACTACGACCGATTCTGCCGGCAATTCGATTTAATAAATGACATAGCCCTAGCACTTGCATCCCCGGAATAGCTGCAACTCTGCTACCTGACAGAAAATCCGTTCATTCAGCTTCGAAATTGCTTTTGAATGCGCAATTCATTGAAACTCCCGCGTATAACATTTCCAAAGCATCCGGCATGGGAAAAGTACTGCAGAAATGCAAACCTATTGTTTTGGATGAATGCACAATGGCGCAAAAAAGCGCTCGAGGTCCTTGACCGAACGCTGCAGGATTTGCGAGGAAACAGCAGATCATTTCCGATGCACTGCTACTGCTTGCTGGAGACTTCAGGCCACCACTGCCTCGATCGGCATCGGTGGACGAAATAAAGGCTCGCCGCCATCACTTACTCCGGAATTCTCGAACGCGACTGGGTGCAGCAAACTATTGCCCTGCCATCGAAAACGTCTAGAAGGCCAATCCTGGGTTTCGCACACAATACGTACCGCCAACCGGTGGCGCTTACATTTTTCTCAGTTGGGAACGTGCCCCTTCCTCTTTCCCTTACACCTCAATTCATCAGATTGATCCACAGCAACGCGTGGCGGGGTCCGGCTAGTTTTCTACTAAATGAACAGAGGAATGAATATTGTTATGCATGTTTTCCATGAAATATAATTGAATCTTTAAGGGCATCGAAAATCGACGAAAAGATGTATGCTGCTCGAGTAGTCATTTTTTACGGACTATGGTTTTTGGGGACAACCAAAAAGAAGTTTGTTCGAGAGGCGACGTCCTGGGGTAACTGAATTACTATAGAATTATGCTGCACGATGATTGGTTTTACAACCTTACTTAATTAATCTTTTCGAAACGAAAACGCATTTCGGGATTTCTGTTGAGATTTCACGAGTTAGCCCACATACTGTATCTGCCGGCAAGAAAGTATTCCGACTGAAAAACACTCCAGGATGGTTGATTTGTAGCCTGGACTTTCGATAAGAGCTGCTTTCCGCTTGCTCTCAAGGACGGCTTTCAGTGGTCAAGGTCATATGTCCTCCTGGGTTGTCAGTTTTTAACTCTCCGAATCGGGAGATCACTAGCATATCCACCATCCCATGCTTTATCTGAACTTTCACCAGCAGCCTAGAAGATTCTCTGGATAGCCACGTAGTCGCATCTTTCCGAGAAAAACCGGACAGCCCAATCCTACTAGCCCTCATCCGCGGGCATTACAGGCGTCGATTCAGGAGTTTCACTTTAGTGGTCACATTTTGTTTGCAGTCAGACTGAGCTCGATCACCTGTCGTTTGGGGCCTTGCAGCCAGCAAACGTTTAGTTTAAATCATCGGCTCTTAGAGTTCCCATCCGTCAATAACTCCAGGGTCTTCGGGCGGAGCACTTTTGGGCCTCACAGAGTCTGCTGTCGTGGGCTGCATAACGGTTTATTCGACTTCTTATTCGGCTTTGACTCATGCTTTCACGCTACATATTTGCTGGCTGCAGTTTTCTGAAACAGTGACGGCTCTCTGGGGGCCGTCTGGCGACAGTCACTAGCCTATTTTCCTGCCAACAGCGTCTGTAGACCCCGAGGTATTGCCAAAACTCTGCAGACACATGGTACTCTGTTGCATCGCCATCAGTTTTTCGCATTCTGATTAAGTTCTGTAACGATAGCCATTTAAAGATGAAAAATTCGGAGGACGCGGCACGCTGTCCTGGTCCCAAGTGGCGCCGCAATGTCAGCATTGAAAGTAAAGTAAACCAAGGGGGAGGGATGCTGAAATCGTCAGTGGGAAATGTAGCTGAGGCTGAAACGGAAAAGGCAACCTGATGCATGCCAAATCTGCCACGAGATTGACGGAAGCCTGGAATGCCCACAAAAGACCTAACTGACAGAAAACGCGGGACAGCAATATCCCCAAACGTAACGGGAAACCTAACTGCACCCTCGAAAGTAAACCTTATTCTAAACGTACATAATAATAAGCCGAACGCTAGCCCTAAACTGAACACTGAATATAACTCTAAACCTATCACAAACCCTAGTCGTAACTCTAACCCTAACCCTAACTCCTACCCAAATCCTAACCCTGACCTTGATTGTAACCAAAACCCTAACCTAAGCCGCAACCCTACCCTAACCCTAACACTAAACCCGACCTTACCACTAAACGTTACCCTAAACCGCAATCCAGAGCCTAATTCTGACCGGAACTCTTAAACTTAACACAAAGCCTAACCCTAAAATCAATTCCCAGCCTGACACTGACCCTACCTCCAAACCGAAACATCAGGTTGGTCTTTTCTGTTTTAGCTTCGGCTACTCTCCCCACAAACAATTTCAGCACCCTTCTTCGGCCTACTTTATTTGCAATGTCCATATTGCGCTTACACTTGGGACCAAGTTGGCCTAACCGACCTCTATCCAAATTTACACCATTCAGTATTAGTATGCAGGTGTTCTTACTTTTGCTGTGCCTGAAATATTATTCAAGACATAAGTGAAGCACTAAAGAAGTATGTAAAAAACGTAGAGCAACTTGGAGATATTGCGCACAAACATTCCTCTGAAGTCTTCCCGTTCCCGAGAAAGGAATTGGGGCTTTATGACGAAGCTGGATAGAGGTACTGGGGACATCTGACGTGTCATAGAAAACGCTACGGGCAACATCCGTAAGCAGTGACCTTAGCACTTTGGTTTACTGGGATCGGGCCCCAGGCTATGAAAATCGTTCCGTTGGTGAAAGTATGGAACGCCACTGATGATTTCAGCATCTTTACTTGAGATGCTTACACTGTGCTTGCAGTTGAGACCAGGACCCCTACCGAGGGTTTCACTGTCGTCCCCGTCCAGTAATAATAATAATTGTATTAAATGCCAGTTTACAGGCAGGGAAAGGTTAAGCAAAAATCCAACCATCAGTGAAAAAACTCCCGATAAAAAAGGGGAAGGTATCTTAATTCTCATCCCGATACTAACTAGACCTTAAAAGTAACCCAACCTCTAAACCGAAACATCAGGTCGCCCTTCTGCTGAGGCTGACACGGGAAAGGCAACCTGATGCATGACAAATCTGCCACGAGATTGACGGAAGCCTGGAATCCCCACAAAAGACCTAACTGACAGAAAACGCGGGACAGCAATATCCCACACTTAACGGGAAATCTAACTGTACCATCAAAAGCAAACCTAATTCTTAACCTAATTAGACGAGATCGCAGTTGGAAGCCAGGCCCCGTATTACAGGTGGCTGTGAGGTTTGTCTACTGGGGCTTTTTGTGGGGCTACCTAATCATGTCTGACCCATTTGGCTTCCGCTTTACGTTTGAGGTTAGGATTAGGGTACCGGTTAAGGCTTTCCGATTTTCGGGTTAGGGTTATGCCTTTAGGCTTAGGCTTTCGGGTTACGGTTAGGGTTTAAGCGTACGATTAGGTTTCAGTATTACGTTTAGGTTTTGCATTTAGGGCTATAAGCGCTACGATTACGTTTACGATTTCGGTTAGGGTTAGGGTTAAGGTGGCCGTTAGGGTTAAGGGTTTACGCTTAAGGTTAAGGTTAGGGTTAGGGTTAATTTCGCCGTCCGCTTCCCCATTCCTGACTACTGACTGCGATCTACCACTAACTTTAACCCCAACCTTACCACTAAACGTTACCCTAAACCGCAATCCAGACCCTAATTCTGACCGGGACTCTTAAACTTAACACTAACTCTAACCCTCAACTCAGTTCCCAGCCTCACACTAACTCTACTCCTAAAGTCAACCCTACTGTTAAACATAAACCTCAGGTTGCCCTTATCCGCAAAAGACCTAACTGACAGGAAACGCGGGACAGCAATATCGGTAAACGTAACCGTAATCTCAAAAGTAAACCTAATCCTTAACGTAATTATAAACCTAAAGCTAACCCTAAACGTAACACTAAGCCTAACCCCAAACCTACCACAAACCCTAGCCCTGCTCCTAAGCAAGCCTCAACCCTCAAAAAGATCCTGACCTTAACCCTAACCCAAACCTTAAACGTAACCCAATCCCCAACCTTAACCATAATCGTAGCCCTATACAACCCTAATCCTAACACCAACCCCAACCCCGTCGTTAACACTAAACTTAAATCTAAACCACAATCCAAACCCTAACTATAACAGTAATCCTTAAACTTAACACAAACCCCAACCCTAAACTCAATTTCCAGCCGGACACTAACCCCACCTCTAAACCGAAACATATGGTCACTCTAATCCGTTTTAGCTTTGGCTACTTTCCCACCAACAATGTCAGCATCCTTCTTCAGCTTACTTTACTTCCAATGCCCACATTGCGCTTACAATTGGGACCAGGACAACCTAAATGGCCACTACCCGGCGAACGTACGTTTTTGATTATTCATCATCAGGCCTGTAAGGTAAAACAATGAAAGTTAAATAACAGCCTATGAACAGTACTCAGGGGGGAAATGACTCTGGGCGTTCAGACATCTCGGACATCAGGCATAATTATAGCCCAGTTCTGTCGGGTCATAGGGGGGGTGGAGGGTAAGGTGGGTAGAGGGAGTTGCGTGACGTAGGACTCGGATTCGGCCGAGGGAGCTTCAGGGCTTATATAAACGCCCTCTGCAAGCATAAGATGGAGTTGACTGACCGTAAGGTCACTACTTCTGTCGTGGCGACTCTCCGCTGACGCAGGAACTTGGTGTGCTTCGCGGGAACTTTAAAGGCTTGCTTAACGTATACCCGGTGGCCTCTGTCAACCTAGTGAGCCACAATTGCGCTGGAGGTAACAATCGGGAGCTGGCATCCAAAAAATCCGTTACCTAGAAATAATGCCTTTACCAGTGGACTCAAACGCCTTCAGGCTATATCAGCGGTTGCAGGCCTACTTTCACGCACTACTTGGACTTTCCCCGACTGCCTAACATGGGCTGGCCGAACGAACATCGCAGGAGGTTACATGGACGATGGTCGATGTTACTCAACCTTCTCCATCGTTACACACGTACACCTGAATATATGGCATACATTCGCATTATGGCAGTTTATTACAAAATAAAATCTCTTCTAAATAGGATAAGTCTGCACAACATGGGACAGGAACAGTTCCCAGGCATCTGTCAAAGACATGGCATTGAGGCCAAACCAAGGACAATACTGTACTTCGTCTATGTGAGCCCACACAGATCGACCACATACAGGACCTCGTAAAAATTCCTTTTCAGTGTACTCCAGTATACCTCATTGGAATTGGTGTGCCGTCCGGTGGTAGGGTCCTTGAAGTTCTTTGAGTGGTTAACAGAGAAATATAGATAACCTTCTGAGGGAAGACGATTATACGCCTTCCACTCGACCGTTACCACTATACTGCTTTGGCGACCCATTTTGTAATGACGGGACGGAGAGCGGGCCAACTTCGATCATTCACCTGTTCAAATAAGGCTTGTCGTCGGCTAATATCATACATCCCGACCAGCCACCACCCATAAAACCCTATTACCACCTGTCCCGTAAGACAGGCTGCTTTGGCTAGGCGGATTTTTGGGTGCCATCTCCCGATTGTTACCGGACTTTCCACGCCTTGGTTTAATCACGCATGATGATGCCCTCGCATCCGTTTGGATAAGCCTCTAGTTGTTCGACCAATAAAACCCGCCCCGAGAAACAAGTGAAGGTTCACATGCACACCGAGGAAGTTTTAAAGGGTAGTCTATCCTCAACTTCAAGGCAAAGAAGAGTGAATCGCTCGAGAAAATTAGTTTTCTCCTGGGTGCGTACGCTCAGTAGTAGAGGTTGGGTGAGGCTGTAGAAATTCGCTGTCTGAGTCCCCTCGAACTGGTGGAGATGTTAGGAATAGCTCTTTCTTTTCGGCCGTTGGTACACCCGTTTTGGTGCACATCCTTTCATATGTCTCGCAATAAAATTACCAGAGAAACCTCTTTCCCCAAAACTTTTTCGTAAAAGTGCGAGTTTCTAATAGAAGCTAAGAGGCGAGTTCCAGGAAGTAGTCGAGGAGAAGGAGACACGATTGTTGGAACAGGTACTTTATTAGCCTGACGTTTCGGATTCTCCCTCGAATCCATCATCAGAGACAGAGCCAGATAAGGATGGTGGATTGTCCAGGTGTTGCAATATTTATAGGTTGTAGTTGCTAGGCCGCCACAGGCGAGTTCGTTCCTCAACGTATTCCGAGTGCCGGGTTGGTTAGGCAGTGGGCAAAACTCAGTTACTGACTTAGAGGGACAGCATGTTAGAAATTTGTATCTTGCCCTCCCTCGATTTCTTACAAAGTAAACTCGGCAACTGGTTGCGGGACCCGTTTTACTGTCAACTTAAACGGAAAAGGCAACCTGCCACGAGATTGAAGGACGCCTAGAATCCCCGCAAAGAACCGGGCTGACAGTAAACGCGGGACAGCAATATCCTAAAACTAACGGTAAACCTAACCGCAACCTCAAAAGTAAACCTTATCCTTAGCACAATTATAAACCTAAAGCGAAGCCTAGACTTAACACTAACCCTAACCACCGAACCTACAACAAACCCTAGCCCTAACCCCAGGCCTAGCATTAACCCCGACACAAATCCTAACCCTGACCATAACTGTGACCCAAACCCTAACCCCAACCTTGACTGTAACCCTACCCTAACCCCAACCTTACCACTAAAAGTTACCCTAAACCGCACGCCCGTTTTGGTGGACGTCCTTCCTTATGGCTAGTGATAAAATTACCAGGGAAACCAATTTCCCGAAATGCTTTTCGTATGAAGGCCACTTCGTTCCCCAAAGTTTCCGGAATGCATATGGTCCTAGCTGGGTTGGTTAGGCATCGGTCTAAACTTAGTTACTGACTTAGAGGGACGAAATTTTAGAAATTTATATATTATCCTCTCCGGATTTCTTACGAAGTACACTTAGCAAATGGTTCTGGGGTCCGTTTTACTGTCAACTGCGCTCAGAAATATTAACGTGTTCACCGATAGGGTTGCAGGACTTACTCGTCCCGTTGTACTTTGGGGTTCAGTCCTCACAGGCAATCAAGGGAGACTGGGCTGGCCATTTACGGCCTACTAATCATCCCCAATCAGCCATACCCAACCCTAGGTCCGGATGACCTGGGATTTGAACCCGGGATCGCCGCTTATTGAGCGTTAGAAAGTGCAAATTTCCACCATTGAGCCACGGGTCCGTTGTTCTGTCGGCCGCGATCGAGATTATTAACTCTGGTGGTGGGGCATTCATCGATCAGCAACAGCAGAACACGGACCTTTGATTGCTGGTAGAACATTCGCACTACTGTTCAGTGACGAAAGAGTTCGATATCCTAACTGAATGGAGTTAAGGTATGACCATCTGGCAACGTCAAAGAAATGCCCAACCGTCGTTTAATCCCCTTCCCCCTCCCTTGGCGGTAACGTTTTCCGTTTGAATGCACTTACTTCGCGTTCATCTACTGCTTACTGCCCGCGTTTTTGTGAAACTCATAGACCAAAGCATTCCTTTTATAGAGAAGAACTCCTGCTCAGATCTTATGCTTTTTGAGTTAAAAATATCTGTCCTGTGTTTTCAGGAGTTGATTCCACCCCGACAATGTGGACCTAACCTGCCCCAAATTGGATTTCATTGTATTTCCTGTAACAAAATGTTCATCCCAACACGGTCGGTACTTGTGTGAATCTTCCACAAACGCTGCTAGTCGAATGGGAGTTTGAAAAGTGATTCGGGATCGTCTCAACCAGTTTATACACCCGGTCCTGACCTCCACTACTGGCTGCACTAACTTGGTCAGGCTTATGAGAAAAAAAGGACAACTCCCATTCTTGCCGAATGCTGAGGATGTCTGTATCGCCAGTTCAGTTGACAACGAGTTCACCACAAGGTGACGTTTTAGGGCAAGATGCGACTACTCGCGGGAACAGCTTCCCTCGGCCACTGGGTAGAACGGTAATTAGGTAACAGAAAATAAGGAGAAAAAAAACCACCTCGGCACTGAGGATATATTTAGCCGGGCAGTAGCCAATTTGCTGCCCTTTAAAGCCCTTATGCAGCGCAGAAGTGAATCGCGCGTTTTGTCTGCCGAATCCGACCAACATTTCCACCAACCGACGTCGCTGGGCAGTCCAGTGGTAGTGCGTGCATGTCTCTCCGCTACCAATAATTAAACACTGGTCATCGATCAGCGAACGAATTAAGAAAGAAGAATAAATCTGTAATTTTGCTTGATCTCGCGTTCAGTTCTGCCACCAGCGCCACCCCACCACCACCACCGCCACCGCCGCCGCCGCCGCCGCCGCCGCCGCCGCCGCCGCCGCCGCCGCCGCCGCCACCACCACCACCACCACCACCACCACCACCACCTGTAGTGCGTTACATACAGGCGCCTGGGAATAGACAGAGGCAGGAGGGGTACGACCAGCAGAGTGTCCTATCCGGCTCAGTCTGGTGCGCGCCGATAAGAATGCTGGCCTGACAGGTGACTGTTACGCCTGCGAGATCAGCGTCGTTCCCTCCATCTGACGCTAACGCCTGTGTAGATTGGTGGAATAATTTGGGAAGGGCGTCAGCAGTAACTTCGTACTAACCACTGCTGAAGAAGGAGCATAGGCAAAACTAGGGCGTCGTAACGGGTTCGCCAACCAGGACAAATCGATGAACGAAGCCCACATGCGACTCTGAGTATTCCCAAGTGCAACTGAGGGGTTATAGTTTCGCGGCTCAATTGGCACTGGGCTTGACTCAAATGCCGTATGAGCGCCTGATCAGGGACTCTAGTCTCTGACCTTCTCAATCTGGGTTGATGTATAGTTGGCTGATGAGGGATAGTAAACCAGAAGTGTCTGCTTCCCCGTCTGCCGTGTTTGTGTCGGAAACACCTATCGATTATTGGTTTCTCCATGTCATGTTAACGCACGTGAGAGCTCTAGATTAGGGCGTCCAGGCGAAACGCGACCATCCGTCTTTCATCCTATAACTAGGATGGGTCGGGAACGTCACACCAATGTGGGCCAGAAGATAGGACAACCAGTTTGGCTGAGAAGCGCGCTTAGAAAGGGACAAACATGGCTTGTTTCCTCGTGACAGAAGTATGCGGTGTTTCTTAAAATAACTAATTGCGACAATGAGACGTATACCTACGAGACAGGCCACTTATTTATCGGTTAGACCCGAGAACTGGTCCCTTCACTCACGATTATCTTTGTTGGTAATAAGGCTCAGTCAGTGTGAACAGAACCCGATATTTCTCGAACGTACATCTTAGCTGACTCGATGAGACCTCAGACCTCACATTCACTAAAGTGCGTCACCTTTTCCGCTGCGCTGTGGATGGCAAACTTTTAGGTCTCAGACTCATGAAGCATTTTCACTTCCAAGACGAAAAAGTAAACGTTAAGAAGAAGGGTGGTTGGGCACCGGAAGATTCTGTTTATTGTTCTGGGCTTCCGAACTCATGCAGGAGTCCATCGTCAGAGATAGTAGTAGTAGTAGTAGTAGTAGTAGTAGTAGTAGTAGTAGTAGTAGTAGTAGTAGTAGTAGTAGTAGTAGTAGTAGTAGTAGTAGTAGTAGTAGTAGTAGCAGCAGCAGCAGCAGCAGCAGCAGCAGCAGCAGCAGCAGCAGCAGCAGCAGCAGCAGCAGCAGAACAAGCGACAGTTATAAGGCGTGTTGGCCAATCATCGATCAGTGACGCAAGACTGGATGGCTCAGTACGCCGGCGCCAGATCAATAAATCGATCAACTGGGTTCTCATCCGAGGCCCAGGCGTCAATCAATTATCGGCCTGTTTTGTTTCCGGCGTGGGCGATTATTTTGATGGCTGAAAAGTTAAACTCATGACCCACTTCATAGGTGTGGGCAGCCACTTGTGATAATGCGTCGTCTCATGTTCCTGTATGCGCGGCTCGAGCATGCGTCCAGTCTGGCCTGTGTAGTTTTAAGGACATTTTTGACATGGGATATGATACACTATTCCAGACTGTTCCGGTGTTCGACCGCCTCTCTTCTTCTTCACTTATGCATACACCTGGAATTCGAACTTTCGCCTTCCTTCGTGAAAAATTAGATTCCTAAATACCTGTTCTGATGACTACAGCTGACTTAGCGCTTCCACATGCGTGCAGTAGCATGAGGTAAATTGCGCGCTAGCAAGCCTCCCCGCCGGGCGCTTTCTAGGTAGTGTTGGTGGCGTAAACACTGCCTAACTATCAGGACCGTAAGCGGTAAATCGCGCGTTCCAACCGTCTGCATAAGCTTTAGCCCGTCTTCATGCATTTCTGCGGCCCCTGAGTAGCGTGTGGTATCGACACCGCGCGTGCGCGTGAATGAGAGCTTAAATATCGACCCTGCTCAGAACGTACTTTTTGATTGAACTTTCACGCTTTTCAGTCTATACGCCATACTGCTACCATGGGTTTTAGCCGCCAAAAGTCCAGACATGTGTTTCATCAGGCTCTCCATGACTGCATGGTGAAGATGTCAGCGAAATGAGCCCATAACTGGGTCCCCCCACGTGTTCTATGTAATTTCTGGTATGTAATCCTGTTAGGTTCGGCAGCCAATTGTAACTAAAGGCTCGAGTTGAATACTAGTAACTTCCACGGAAGTCTAGCGTCGAACCCCTGACAGTTGCGTCACGCATCAGAAGAAAGTCGACGAAACACCTCTTAAGATTTTCAAGTAGTGTCTATATTCGAGGCATTATGAACAAAACTCTGTGAGCTACAAACACTATTAATGGTTCGGAAGATGAAACCAGCTGGCTTTTTCGCTAGAGCTAATAGCGTTCAAGTCGAATGTTTACATAAGAATTATGGCCATATTTAACAAGTCCGGGTTCAACAACTCAACTCAAACTTTAACCGGTAAGTTCGGACGAATTTATTAGCTGCTCCTTGTTAAGCCCCTCTAATTTCTAAGAACCGCATTTTTTCCACACAAACCTTCTCAGATTTGATTTAAAAGCCGGTATACAGTAGATGGACTAACTCATGAAATGTCAACCGAAATTCCGAAATGCGTTTTCGTTTCGAAGAGGTAAATTTAGTAAGGCTGTAAAACTAATCGTCATGCAAAATAATTCTATCACAATTCAGCTACCTCAGGATGCCGGCTTTCAAACAAACTTATTTCCGGCTGCATGCAAAAATTATTATCCGTGAAAAATGACTACTTTAGTAGCATGCATTTTTCTCATTGATTTTCGCTGCCCTTAAAAATTCAATTATATTTCATGGAAAACATGCCTAACAATATTAATTCTTTTGCTCATTCGGTAGAAAATGACGTCTTCTTCCAATTTTATACTCGCACGAAGAGTATAATTCGGTTTTCGAAAACTTTTTCAATTTCCGAATAATCTTGAACCCGACCTGGTTTTGCACTTGCATTCAGGATTTCCAAACTACAAGCCGTATATTTTCAGCTTACGGAAAATCAAACATTCCTCTACGGTATTAAGAGGAGGTCATGTGGGGTTCATAAAATTTGGCCGTGGATTTGGGCCATATTTTTAACATTACAAGTCACATTGGTGAAAGCAGAGACATGACGTTTTATGAATGGCCATTTCACCTTATTAAAAAATCTCACAATTAGAAGCTTTATAAAACTAAATTATTCTCTTCCTGCGAGTATTAAACTGGAAGAAGACGTAATTTCCACCGAATGAGCAAAATAATGAAAATTGTTCTCCATGTTTTCCATGAAATGTAATGGAATTTTTAAGGGCATCGAAAATCAAGGAGAAAAATGCATCCTACATAAGTAGTCGTTTGTTCCGGAGTGTAGTTCCTATATGCAGCCGAAAAAAAGTTTGCTTGAAAGCAGGCATCCTGAGGTAGCTGGATTGTGATAGAATTATGTTGCACGACGATTGGTTTTACAACCCTACTAAATTACTCTTTTCGAAACGAAAACGCATTTTGGAATTTCGGTTGACATTTCATGAGTTAGCCCACCTACTGTAACTATTGGAACTGAAATCCACCGCTTTCAGAGATTCAACCGCGTAGTATTCACATCCTGTCCACAGACAGTCAGTAGCATATGAGTACTTAGGGATTTACAATATTCCCGGCAGGGGTATTACAAAGGCGCGTAGTTCGACAATTCTATGTCACTGCATGACGCAGCTGTGAGGGGTTCGGCTCTTTAGTGGGTGCTTTCTTATATATACATCGATTACTAATGTAAAGCGTTAAATCCACTAAACCCGATTAATTTTGTCCCGAAAGTTAACATCAACTTTAGGTCGGAACCTGAGAAGATATGCGCCCAAAAATTCGCTCCAAGTTTAAAAATTAACTTATGAGGAAAGTGAACGGTTTAACATTATAAACCGATGTATATGCCGGGAACGCTCGGGGACCCAATGATGAGCAGAACCCCTCGCAGCTGCTTCATGCGGCGGAACGGAATCTGCTAAACACATTTCTGGTCTTCTAGTTAGTGTCTGTGCCGGGATTATGGGAAATCAGTCAATACTGCTCTGCTCGAAAAAATCGCCCTTGCATCTTCCATTATTCGAGATGCTATGTATTCTTCGTGGACGTAGTTATAGGCATAAACACACCGAAACCAGCAAACGCAACAGTAGCGTTCATTAAAAACGTCTTTAGTGACCCAGCCCCAGGATAAGTAGTGCAAAAGTGAACGATAATCACAATCGTGGGTGTAAACAGTTTGCACTCCGAATTGTGTACAAATATTCATGGCTTTCTCCACAATTAATACTCCCGTTACTTTCTTTCGCGGTGGTCTGTGCTTCAGTTATAGATGATAACCGCACATAACACTTGAACCGAAGTGCCTTGGGAGTTGGGAGACAACGGATAGCCTTAAATATTTTATATACAGAGTAGGCGGATGGCAACAACAAGTGAGATTTGGGAAACAGGGTCGTTAAATGTAATTCGTCCTAGTCGCAGTCCTAATGTTTCTTTTCACCCATCTGACTTCAAATTCAAACCGCCTAAGATATTGATCCCTTGATAGGTTCACCTCGCTGAGTAAGTTGTCAGCGCGCGATTTGAGCTGAAAGTCGATAATTCGAATTACCTGCGTCGCTGGCTTATCGATTTTATTGTGGATTGCGTTGCAGCCCCCTATGACGGCTTTGTATGTGGCTGCGGCCAGAAGCATATTGCGAGCGTACGAGCGAAGTAACGCGTTACACGGCCGATGACGGCGTGTCATTCTAGAGAAAAGCAGTAGCGCGTGACCGATCTCATGAAATGTTGGCCGAAAGTCTGAAATGCGTTTTCGTCTAGGAAGGATTAATAAGGTGGCGTTGCAATATTAATTATCATGTAGCATAATCCAATAGTATATCGGACTCGCCAGGATGTCAGCTTTTAATTGCACTTCTTTCTGATCTCTCGCAGAAACCGAACTCGGTAGAAAATGACTACTTAAGTAGCTTGTATTTTTCACAAATATTTTAGATGGTCATACAAATTCAAATATATTTTATAGTAAACATGCACAAAAATATGCTTTCTTTTATTTGTTTGGTAGAAAACCATATTTTCTTCATATTTTTTACCCGAAAAATTGTATATTTAGGTTTTGAGAAAGTTTCCCAATTCCCAAATAATTTTGAGCCTCGTCAGTCGTTGCATTAACGTTTATCGACTTCAGTCTATAAGCTGCATGCGTTACGCGTAAGGAAAATCATATATTCGTCTGTGCCTTTCAGAAGATAGTGTATAGAGTTCATAAAATTTTGCTATGGATTCGGGCTATGTTGTTCACTTCAAGAGGGAGATTGGTAAACGGGCACGTGCCATGGTGTATATACAGACATCGCACGGTCTTAAAAACCTCATTATTAGAAACATTTTTAAAACCGAAAGATAACCATTCCTAGGGCATATAATATAAAGACAATATGGTTTTCTGACAAACAAGTATAAGAAAGCGTATATTTGAATTTGTATGACCATCCAAAATAGTTGTGAAAAATACGAGCTACTTAAGTAGTCATTTTCTACCGAGTTCGGTTTCTGTAAGAGATCAGAAAGAAGTGCATTCAAAAGCCGACATCCTGGCGAGTCCGATATACTATAGGATTATGCTACATGATAATTAATATTACAACGCCACCTTATTAATCCTTCCTAATTGAAAACGCATTTCAGAATTTGCGCCAACATTTCATGAGATCGATCACGCACTGTAACGGTTTGGCCATCGTGACCCATCGCGTGCCCCACAGTAGCGTGTGACCAGGGACGGTAATTTACGCGGAAGGTAGTTCAAAGTGAGAGTAGACTTGCGATGCACCTACCTCGCTCCCTCTTCCTCTCCCACCTGAACCCGGTGTCAAGAAGACCGGAGGCGGGGGAGGGCGCAGGTGGATTGCGCGGCCGAGCCCGCAGCTATGCGTACAACCAGACCCCCCGGTCCACTGACCCGGATTTTATATAGCAGCATTAAAGGAGGGACGGCCTGGATCCCACTTAGCACGGCATGAGTCTGTACCTGATCGTGCCACAAAGTCACCAATGTTGCGCATTGGCGATAGCACTTGCCGGACTCCGATCTAGCCCCCCTGCGTTGGTGCAGCACATCTACCGCCTGGCCCGTTCCAGAAGCACGCGGTTGGGTAAAGGTGAAGGCTACACACACACACTCTACATTTTTAGGGGGACGATATTTGTGGGATACATGGTCAGGGTACCAGTCTCTCTCGCTCTTAAATAAATTGTTCAGATTTTTAACCGTTGCAGCAGCAATGGTCCGCATAAGCTA